CTTGGGTGTGACGCCTCTCTGTTGGGTTTGGGGAGCTGTGTCCCTTGGGCTGTGTCCATTGTGGCAGCTGTACTTGGTGACCCGTTTGAAATGCCGCTTGCTCTGTTGTTTAGGAGGAGCTGCGGGTGGTGGATACGCCCAGGTCATCCCCATGGAGGAGGTAAGACCTTGAAGAGATGCCGGTGAGCTATCACTGTGTCTCCTTCTGACATCTTGTCTCCGCTCCCATCCACACAGGCCCACAGACCCTCCTCCACGATCCCAAAGTCCTTAAGGCTCTGAAACCCCAAAATGTTTGCATAACTCACGCAGTGGCAAACCCTAGTATTGACTGTGATCAGCTATAAGTATATGGATTTTGTATGTGCTACTTGGCGTGAATATTCACATACATTGCTGTAGAAAAATTATTTTTGATTAACAGGTGCTGACCTAGCCCCTGCTTGGGGTGTTTTACAAATAAACTACATGTAAATCATACTGCCTTCCTAAACTCCAAAATATTCTGAACCCTAAAACCCTGCTGGTCTTGCGGGTCTGGATGAGAGAATGTGGGTCTGTGCCTGTCTCGATCATCTGCTGTACTGCCGAGTTCACGAAGACTTCACGCTTCCCCTCTGTCAGTTCAGGCTCCAGTGTGTGCCTCGGCAGCACAGATACTAAAACTGGAATGACACAGAGAGGATTCGCATGGTCCCTGCACGAGGATGACACACAAATTTGTGAAGTGTCCCATTAAAAACGAAAGACTCCAAAGTAAAAGAGTTCCAGAGGAAAATGGGCAAAAAGACCTGACGTTGTTAATTCCCACTTCTCTAAGAACTCCCCCTTCGTTCCGCATAACCTCTTCTTTGTCGCCTGTAACTAACCAGGGACCAGTTCTTTTCATTTCCACTGTCTGCATCCACCTCATCATTCAGGGCCTGGGCAATCTTCCAAAACCCAAATCTGAGCAGGTCACTTTCCTGTTCTGTCATTTCTGCCATTGCCTGTCACCCTCCAGCACAGCACAGGAGGTCCTCGTGGGCGGCTGCTCCTGCTTCCCTGTCCGCAGGTCCCCGCCTGCCTTCTTTCTACCGCGTCAAGCTCCTTACAGACTTTTTTTTTTTTTCTTTTTGAGACAGAGTTTTACTTTGTTGCTCAGGCTGGAGTGCAGTGGCATAATCTCGGCCCACTGCAACCTCCACCTCCCAGGTTCAAGCAATTCTCATGCCTCATTCTCCTGAGTAGCTGGGATTACAGGCAACTGCCACCATGCCTGACTGATTTTTTGTATTTTAGTAGAGATGGGGTTTTACCGTGTTGGCCAGGCTGGTCTCGAACTCATGAGCTCAGGCAGTCCGCTGGTCTTGGCCTCCCAAAGTGCTAGGATTACAGGCGTGAGCCACCGTGCCCAGCCCTTGCAGACTCTTTTCCTGTTCTCTCTCGGTTCCGGGATTTTCCCATGCCTGGAACATTCTTCCTTTTCTGTCCTCTTTACCCAGCTTAGGGGTTTTGTCAAGGTTCTTCTCTACCCCACAGACTCCCTCTGTGTTTATGGCTATCTGGTTCAGTTGACTGTGGCGAGTCGTGGGCCTTTCTTGAGGTCTCAGGTCCCAGCATTGAGCAGAGTACCCAGCACATAGTAGGAACTCACTAGAAAGTATTTGTTGACTTTGTTAAAGGAATGGAAGTGTTTACCCAGGGAGGTCTGAGTGTCAGGGAAGCTAAAGAGAAAATCAGTATAAACTTCAAGTACTGGGAGTAGCAGTGAGAAAGAATAGTCCGAGGCACTGCTGAGAAAAATCGTCCCGGGCCTCAGGTCAGAATGGGGATGGGTACATTCACAAGCCAGACCCAGAACCAGGAGGCCAAATTAGAGGTGGCATACAAGGGGCATACACAGGGAAATGGCTCGGGTTTAGCCAGCAAATTGGAAGGACATTGGTGTCCCACTGGTTTAAGGCATCAGCTATGTGGCTTGGAGGAGAGAGCTACTTTTTTATTTTATTTTATTTTACTTTATTTTATTTTATTTTATTTTTTGAGATGGAGTCTCGCTCTGTCACCCAGGTTGGAGCACAATGGTGCGATCTTGGCTCGCTGCAACCTCTGCCTCCCAGATTCGAGTGATTCTCCTGCCTCAGCCTCCCGAGAAGCTGGGATTACAGGTGCCTGCCACCATGCCCAGCTAATTTTTGTATTTTAATAGAGAAAGAGTTTCACCGTGTTGGTCAGGCCAGTCTTGAACTCCTGACCTCAGGTAATCCACCCGCCTCCACCTCCCAAAGTGCTGGGATTACAGGCGTGAGCCACCACGCCTGGCCAAGAGGATTACTTTATGAGGGTGGAGTGGGCCAGACACACTCGGGCAAGTTTGTTCCTTGAAGTTGAGTGCCTCCAGTCTCTTCTTCGTCTGTATCCTCCCAACTCTGAGCACTATGCCTGACACTTAGGGGATGTTTGTTGACTGAGTGCCAGGCACAGACAATATGTACTGGACAGAACATAATAAATCACCATAGGGGAAAATGTTAGAATAAATTCCAGATGGACTGAGGAATTGAAAGTGAAAACACTGTGACTGGAAGGATGAGAAGGAGCCAGCCTTGTGAAGAATGAGGGAGAGCATTCAGCCAGGGGGAACTGCTGGTGGGAAAGCCCTGAGGCAGGAAAGGGTGTGACCTGTTCAGGGAAGTGGAGGACACCAGGCTGGCTGGGGCCCCGTGGGCCAGCGGGAGTTGGGGGGTTGAGGTAGAGAAGTGTGCAGGCGCCAGCTCTGTTGGGTAATTGCAATTTGTAGCCAAGAACCTGGATTTTATTTGAAGTGCCAAGGTCAGCCATTGAAGGGATCTTGACAGATAACACAATGCAGATTGAGTTTTATTAAAATCACCCTCTCTTCTGTGTGATGAAGGGACCAGGGGCCTCTCAGTAGACACGATGAATCCAGGAGGAAGACTATGGAAGTAGCCCAGGGAAAGATGGCAGTGGCTTGGCCTAGGATGGGGCAGTGAGGATGGAAAAGAGGAAAAAACAGTTTAAGGTTTGTTTGCTGGTGTGTGCAGGATTAGATGTTGGGGGTGAGAAAAGGGGAGGATTCAAGGATGACATCCAGGGTACTGGCTTGAGCAACTCAGTAGACTCATTTGTTGAGGCAGAGAACAGGAGAGTGATGGTATGAGGTTTGAACTGTGTAGTGTGGGGTGTGGTGGAGGGTGGTAGTCAGAAAGAGGGAGTCAGTGTAGAGGCCTATGAAACATGCAGGTGGACATCAAGTAGACGGCTGGAAAGAAAAACTTACATTCCAGTTGTGAAATGGCCAAAGGGTTCAATAGAAACATCGGAAAAGAAATATTAACTAAATGCATATTCATCTTCACCAATCATCAAGTAAATAAATCTACATTAAAACCACTATCAGGCCGGACACGGTGGCTCACGCCTGTAATCCCAGCACTTTGGGAGGCCAAGGTCGGCAGATCACTGAGGTTAGGAGTTGGAGACCAGCCTGACCAACATGGGGAAACCCCGTCTGTAATAAAAATACAAAAATAAGCTGGGTGTGGTGGCAGGCGCCTGTAATCCCAGCCACTCGGGAGGCTGAGGCAGGAGGATCACTCAAACCTGGGAGGCAGAGGTTGCAGTGAGCCGAGATCACGCCACTGCACTCCAGTCCGGGCAACAAGAACGAGACTCCATCTCTAAATAAATAAATAAATAAATAAATAAAAATAAAACTACTATCAGTTACCATTTTACTTGTCAAGTTGACAAAGTTGGATTTTTCAAAAAAGTTATGATACCAAATTTTGGCAAAGAAATTGAAATGGACTCCCACACACTGCTGGGAAGTGTATGTTGATAAAAACACTTCTGGGAGAAGGGTAGAAATACATATGAAGTACTTTACCGTGCATATCCTTTGGCCCAAATAAATTCATTTTTAGTGCACCCTAAGGAAAAAATGAATATATGAGAAAATAGATCATTTTAAATTAAATATACCCTCACATAGTTTATAACATTAAAAAATGGGGGGATAATAATAGGACCTCAAGTTAACTATATTTTGAAGACTAATGATGTAAAAATGCTAGCTATATTGAGAGTGGAAGAGCTAAAGTGTAAACTGTTATGGTGTTATGATTCCAACATTTAAAAGTATAAATATATATTTATAAAATATATATACACACATATGTAATTTTTCATGTTTTCTCCAGTTAGCATTATTTTATGTTATAAAGTAAAATTTTAACAAGAAAATATTTAACCTTCCAAGAAATTAAGGAAATGCAGCTTTAAAAAGAATAACACTTTGTCAACTATTAAATTATTTCTTAGTCTAAAAGTTACTTTATTTCTGAAGTAACTGATCTACTACTAGTGTTTTGTGGATGACACTTCATCCCTTTCAAAAAGCAATTTGGTGATATTATCAAGATCCCAATGGCCAGGTGCAGTGGCTCACACCTGTAATCCCAGCACTTTGGGAGGCTGAGGCGGGTGGATCACAACATCAGGAGTTCAAGACCAGCCTGGCCAACATGGTGAAACCACATCTCTACTAAAAATACAAAAATTAGCCAGGCATGGTGGCGGGCGCCTGTAGTCCCAGCTACTCAGGAGGCAAGAGAATTGCTTGAACCCGGAGGCAGAGGTTGCAGTGAGCCGAGATCATGCCACTGCACTCCAGCCTAGGTGAAAGAGCAAAACTCTATCTCAAAAAAAATAAAATAAAACAAAAATACTTCATCTCTTTCAAAAAACAATTTGGTGATATTATCAAGATCCCAAGGGCTGGGTGCGGTGGCGCACACCTGGAATCCTAGCACTTTGGGAGGCTGAAGCAAGAGGATCACTTGAGCCCAAGAGTCTGAGACCAACCTGGGCAACATAGTGAGACTGCATCTCTACAAAAAAAACGAAAAGAAAGAGAGCTCTTTTAACCTAGTAACTACTCTCCTGAAAATATATTACTCATTAGCAATTAATTTTTTTAAAAAAAGGAAAAGCTATTTGTGTGTATTCTTTGTAACTGTGGCCTTCCTTGTAAAAGTGAACATTTGGTAGTAGCGTATGTATCCTGCCTGAAACTTTTGGTACATCTACCATACACAGCTTCTATAAATTATACACAAGATTATTATAGAAAAAGTTTTGTGAAAAAGGAAACTTGGAAGTTTGTAGGAAGCTGATTCTACACGTGATAATCATGTGTGCTCATGAGACTGGAAGGAAAATAACAAAATGAGTAGAGTCATGAGGGTAAAATACTTTATTTCTCCAAAATTCTGTGATATTTCATATTATTTTATTGTTACCATTTATTTTATGCCCTGCTTCATTCCAAAGTATATTTGATATGATACTGTTTTCTAGATAATAAAACAAGGAAGAAACGTAAAGTGAGTGACTATAAGGAGATTCATTATTAAATTCATCAGAATGTTTTGCCTTAACCTGAGGATGGAAGAATTTATGATCTGAGCGATTGCTCAAAGGTTCTTTGTTGTCACGTGGAAGACTTTGACCTTGATTTTCTGATTTAGGCGTTCCTATAGACTCAGCTCATCATAGGGATATGTAATTTGCATGCTATTTTATTCAGTCCTTAAATTCCATAGTTGTTTAAAACAAATAGGAAGATGTCTTAGCCGGGCACAGTGGCCCAGGAGCTCATTACCAGCTTAGGCAACATAGCAAGACCCCTGTCTCTACAGAAAATTCAAAAATTAGCCAGGCACAATGGTGTGCACCTATATAGGCCCAGCCTACTCAATAGGCTGAGGTGAGAGGATTGCTTGAGCCCAAGAGTTTGAGGATACAGTGAGCTATGATAACGCCACTGCACTCCAGTCTGGGTGACAAAGCAAGACCCTATTTCTGAAAATAAGTAAATAGATATCTTATTTCTCTAGTTCAACCTTCACTTGACTGGAGACATCCACGCCATCACTGCTGCCAATAACTTGCTGGCTGCCGCCATCGACACAAGGATTCTTCATGAAAACACACAAACAGATAAGGTGAGAAGGATGCCTTGCTAGCCATTTTGGGTATTGTATCCTGGAATTCCTGGATTCTTAAGGAGTTTGTGGAAAGATTTCAGGTGTCTGCAAACTCTGAAATGTTATTCAATTCAATTTTGTGATTTTTACATATGTCCCTATTTCCTGAGGAGAAGGAGCCATCGTTTGGTCAGATTCTCAAATGGGTTTATGGGCACTGCCAAGTTATTGGGAGAATTGTAGTGTGTTGTAAAAGCCGAACATTCTCTGAGATGAGGCCTTAGTTTTAAAGATGGTAGGTAGACCAGTTATCTTCATTCTGGTCATAGGTCCAATCTCTAATCTATTCTAAGGGGATTGGACAGATGTCATTTTTAGACTAATGTTATGTGGAGCTATTTTAGATGTGCTGAAAAGATGGCAGGGGCCCTTATTGGGCTTCCTGTGCATGTAGGTTAAGAGTTAAACTACACCCCCAAAGGGGACAGCCCACCAGAAGCTAATTCCTCACAGACATGGGACATAGGTAAAAGGGGTACTTTCTGGCATGTTTTACAACAAGGGTCCTCACTTTCTTAAAGTAGTTCCTTAGTGAGTCTTTGCTCCATAATCCAGATACATCTTCATTTGGTAGTTGTAGCGATATAGATCAAGAAATATATGCCGGGCGCGGTGGCTCACGCCTGTAATCCCAGCACTTTGGGAGGCCGAGGCGGGCGGATCACAAGGTCAGGAGATCGAGACTACGGTGAAACCCCGTCTCTACTAAAAATACAAAAAATTAGCTGGGCGCGGTTGTGGGCGCCTGTAGTCCCAGCTACTCGGGAGGCTGAGGCAGGAGAATGGCGTGAACCCGGGAGGCGGAGCTTGCAGTGAGCCGAGATCGCGCCACTGCACTCCAGCCTGGGCGACAGAGCGAGACTCCGTCTCAAAAAAAAAAGAAATATATTTATGCCAACTCTTTGCAATGTGTGTTATTTCAGATCTCGTCAGTTTTATGAAAATGACAGAATTTAAGTCAACATTGTTTATATTAGCCCGCACATTTTAATAGGGTCTTTTATCTAAATAGTTTGGTTATAAATGCAATGAATTTTTGTCATATGCTGTGAATTGTCCAAGTTCATGGACGATTAACTTTTGTGTGGTCTCATTTTTGTTTTGTGTTTTTAGGCTCTGTATAACCGACTGGTTCCTTTAGTGAATGGTGTCAGAGAATTTTCAGAAATTCAACTTGCTCGGCTGAAAGTAAGTTTCCAGTTAGCAGTTCTTTAAAAACAAAAGGTCCTAGAAGCACATCAGAAAGATTGTCAAAGCCTGAAATTTTCAACTTGATTTGATTTTGGTTTTCAGATATCCTTTTGGGTGTTAAACTCTATAGAGACCGAACACTAGAGCAAAGAGAGCACAGTGTTCGAAGCCTGACTCCCTTCTACTCGAAAGAGCCAGGTGGACAAATTAATTAACCTTTTTCAGTCTCAGTTTCTTCATCTATGAAATGAGAGGACTGTTTTGCTAATTTATGAGTACCCTAGTCAACTGACAAGTTAGCTGGGCATAGGAGCACATACATACCTGTAGTCCAAGCTACTCATGATGCTTGCTTGTGAGAGGTTTGCTTGAGCCAAGGTTATAGTGCACTGTGATGGCACCTGTGAATAGCCACTGCATGCCTGCCTGGGCAACACAGCAAGATCCCATCTTTTAAAAAAAAAATAACGAATTAGGATTTTTAGTGAGTCCTTCTCTTTCTAAAGTGAAATATTTTTATGAAATTTGTTAAATTTCTAGGAAATTATAAGATAACCTTTGAAAACTCATCTATCTCATTTATGGTTTTGTGTTTTGTTGTGTTGTATTTTTTGAGACAGAGTTTTACTCTTGTTGCCCAAGCTGGAGTGCAGAGGCATGATCTCGGCTCACTGCAACCTCCGCCTCCCTGGTTCAAGTGATTCTCCTGCCTCAGCCTCCCAAGTAGCTGTGATTACAGACATGCACCACTGTGCCCAGCTACTTTTTGTATTTTCAGTAGAGATGGGATTTCACCATGTTGGCCTGGCTGGTCTCAAATTCCTGACCTCAGGTGATCCATCTACCTTGGCCTCCCAAAGTGCCAGGATTACCGGCGTGAGTCACTGCGCCCAGCCTCATCTACGTTTTTGTTGCAGCAAACACTACAATTATACTTGCGTATGCCATCTTAATTCTTAAAACCTGTCTTTTCTTTTTTTCTGATGCCATTTGCTGCCTCTGGTCTTCTAATCATATTGCTTGCTACTGGCTCTGTTTCAGAGACTAAAAAATAACCCTAAATGATATATGCCACTGGTTGGCATTAATGGTTTTAAAAATTCACCTCCTGCCTCTTACTGAACCAAGGTCAGTGTGTTGAAGTAGTGAGTAATTCCATCCTCGGCAGCTATAACAACATGCAGTTTCTGTCTCACAGAACTTTTTTATGCTTCATCATTAAAAATCACTTTTTTTTTTTTTTTTTGGTGACAGTCTTGCTCTGTTGCCCAGGCTGGAGTGCAATGGCGCGATCTCGGCTCACTGCAACTTCTGCCTCACAGGTTCAAGCGATTCTCCTGCCTCAGCCTCCCAAGTAGCTGGGATTACAGGCATGCACCACCACGCCAGGCTAATTTTGTATTTTTAGTAGAAACAGGGTTCACCATGTTGGCCAGTCTGGTCTCGAACTCCTGACCTCAGGTGATCCGCCTGCTTTGACCTTCCAAAGTGCTGGGATTACAGGCATGAGCCAGCACGCCTGACCCAGTTTAGTTTTGTTTTGTTTTGCTTTGTTTTGTTTTTTAAGACGAAGTTTCGCTATGTTGCCCAGGCTGGAGTGCAATGGCACAATTTCAGCTCACTGCAACCTCCGCCTCCCAGATTACAGCAATTCTCCTGCTTCAGCCTCCCGAGTAGCTGGGATTGCAGGCATGCGCCACTGTGCCCGGCTAATTTTTGCATTTTTTGTAGAGACAGGGTTGATCCATGTTGGTCAGGCTAGTCTCGAACTCCTGACCTCAGGTGATAGGCCCACCTTGGCCTCCCAAAGTGCCAGTTTAGTTTGTTATAAGGCTTTACTAATCATGGAGAAAATAAAATTAGAGGGATAATTTTGGTGACCCTTTGCTTTCTATTTCTTCTCAAACTTCTCGCCTTTTTTCTTTTTAATCATTAGAAACTGGGAATAAATAAGACTGATCCGAGCACACTGACAGAAGAGGAAGTGAGTAAATTTGCCCGTCTCGACATCAACCCATCTACCATCACGTGGCAGAGAGGTGGGTGCTGGGGAGGTGCCAGCAGGCTGATGGACAGGTGGGGAGGCGTGTTCGAGCCAAAGCTCTTAGATGAAATTCAGAAACTCACAGTTTGATCCTGTCCAATGGTCCTCCCAGCCTGTGCTTCATATTCCCACCATTTATTTCAGTTACTATTATCATACCACCCTCCTCCTCCCTTATCCTTGCCTCCGATTAAAACAAAAATTCTGTTCAGGCTCAATCCCATCTACTCCTATGTCTTGCAAATTTCCAAGGAAAATTACCTAATTTTCTCTTCTGTTTCTTTCTCCTTTGGCCTCTTGTCTCTATATTGAGAAAAAAAAAAAAAAAAAATCAAACAACCTTTTGTTAAAGATCACGCCTCCCTGGCTTTGTCCTGCTCCTCCACCCACCATCCCACCTTCTTCCATTCACTTCCTTACCGCTGGCTCTTGGCAGCTCTCTGTGTTTCCAGTGCTGGATTTTCCTCCAAATCCGATATGTGCTTTCACCCACTTAACGAGGCATCCCTCCACTACTTCAAATGCAGCTGGGTGGACTCCCCGTGAGCTCCCCACCACCTCGACTTCCCTGCTTCCCTCTCAGCTGTGACATCCCCTTCCTTCTCCCACACTGCCCTCAGTCTTATCACTCACTATGGGATGGGACAGAGGGAAATGCACTGAACGGGAAGTCAGGAGCCCTGCATGTGTGTCTCCCCTGCCACTGACTCACTGCATGACCTCGAGCAAGTCTCGTGCATGTTTTTGGCGTTGGAGATGGAGATGGAGATGGTCACATACGCTGCACAGAAACACGGCAACCACGTTTTATGAACCCTACGTGGCTATAGAAATGTTCGATGGCGTGGATCCCTGATCCTTCCTGGATTATTCTCATACTTGTGCCCTCATTTACCTCTTTATACTCACATTTGAAACATATTTATCAGATGCACATTTTATAGCAGTTCCTGACTAATAGATTACCTTGCTTCCATTTCCATCCCCCAGTTCAGAGGGTTCACATTAACAGAGATATCCCATTGTGATCAGAGGCCTCCGGTGGCTCCTCACATCCTGGGGGATACAGTTGCCATCACAGAGCTTGGCCTTCAGGATACCCGCAGTGGCTTCCCTCCCTCTGCTCCCTGCCTGCTTTCTAGTCAGGAGGGCCAACCTCCATCCTGCTGCCAGCCCTAGCTGGGCCGTCTCCATCCTGTGTCCTGCCTAGGCCAGTCTTGCCCTCCAAGATGTACCCAGGTCTTGTCCCTTAAGGGAGCTTCCCTTCTGGGAATCCACCCAGCCAGTCCATTAAGAATTTAGTGTTTTTCCACAAACCATGAGGTAGAGAGTCAAAGACCAGAGACTGAGCACTGGCTCTGCCATTTATGAGCTGCACAACTTTGGACAGACTGCTCACTCAGTTTCCTCATCTTTAAAATGGAATCATAATTCCAGCTGCCTTGCTGGGAGGCTTCACTGAAACATGAGCATCCTTTCCAGACCTGAAAGCTCTGCCCACACAATCATCAGAAGTCACTGTGGTGATAGCTGTACTGAGTAGAGTTTTTTGTTTGTTATTATTTTGAGACAAAGTCTCACTTGCTCTGTCACCTAGGCTGAAGTGCAGTGGCATGATCTTGGCTCAGTACAACCTCTGCCTTACTGGCTCAGTCGATTCTCTTACCTCAGCCTTACGAGTAGCTGGAATTACAGGCACATACCACCACACATTGCTAATTTTTGTATTTTTAGTAGAGATGGTTTCACCATGTTGGCCAGGCTGGTCTGGAACTGCTGACCTCAAACGATCTGCCCACCTCAGCCTCCCAAAGTGCTGGGATTACAGGCGTGAGCCACTGTGCCTGGCTTGGGTAGTTTTTTTGAGTGTCTTTGTCTCCCAAACTAAATGAAAATCTCCTTGGAAACTTTGTGGGGTTTTTTTGTTTTTGTTTTTGTTTTTTTGAGACAGGGCCTCATTCTGTCACCCAGGTTGGAGTGCAGTGGTGCAGTCTCTACTCACTGCAAGCTCCGCCTCCCAG